GATTGTAGCAACCCCAAAAACGAACGGCGCTTCAGAAAATACAGTACAAGTATACCAATTATTCTCGAAAACTTCATATCCTATCGCGTTGTTTGTGTTTTTTGAACGGAATATTTTAAAATCCTTAAGTTAATTTTTTTTAAAGTTTTTTTTTCTTATTTTCAATGAAAAATAAATGCGATCGTTAATATTGATCTTGGTGCAATGTAAACCTGTAATTATAATGACTACTTATACAGAATTTTACTATATTATAGGCCTAGACTAGGACCAGGCCTCCTACTATAGTATAGAGGCCTAGTCCAAGACCTTGTTGCAAATCCCAACCCACATAAGCCTAACCTATAATGCCAAGCATACGGCTCGTGATCGCGGTACCCTGACCATTAAAAATTAGCAGACGCACTGCGAAGCGTTGTTCACGGCATTGGACGGCAGCGAAAAATGATTCCCCCATCATTAATGGAACAGGCCCACGTCATGCTTGGCTGATTAGTTTTGATTTACATTTCGCAAGTCTAGTGCCATTCGCTACGAAATCCTATTAGTGCCACTGAAATATATATTTTTATGTCGTAATTACGACTTATTATGTCGAAATTTTGACATAATAAGTCGTAATTACGACATACGTATGTCGAAATTTCGACATAATAAGTCGTAATTACGACATAAAAATATATATTTCAGTGGCCCTAATAGGCTTTCGTATATATTAGATGTTATACGTACAGTAAATTGGTGGCGCTATACAACTAATTGGTTTACGATGGTCATGATGCTAACACGTGGTGTTTGACACAATTTTACCGTGAGTGGTACAATTGTGTCATAATACCACGCGTAGTACGCGTAGTACGTGTAGTACGCGTAGTACGTGTGGTACACGTACTACGTGTAGTACGCGTAGTACACGTACTACCGGTAGTACGCGTACTACGTGCAGTAATTATGACACAGTTGAACCGCCATATATGAGTTATAAGCGGTTTTGTGTCTATGCCCCCTCGGAAGCTAGACACTATGTTATCGTCTAGTATAACCATGTAAGATCCAGAGGTGACGGAACTAGGGGGTGCTGTTTTATGGAGAGTAATGTGTGACCGGAAATGGTTTGCAGTCAGTTGGTTGTTACCATGCGCCAGTGATGTTTGAGTATATAGTACAGCAATATGAAACTATTATGTAGGCCTAATGAATGAATAAAGTTCGCAGTTTGTCGGGTAGTGAAATGATTATTTTACAATTTAAGTGCTCCCTAAATTCATAAGTGTAAGCTAAATTACGGTGATTAATTTAATTAGCGAAGATATGGAGACAATTAATTTGAATCCCTCTTTCCAAGAGGGGATGCAAATGCTTTTTGAAAATGAGTACGCCGCGGTACTCATTTTCACAAAGAAATAAACACAACTAGTTAGCTAACAATTATGTCAATGTTACATGAACACCTGGGAAGGAAGGTGCAATCACGTTGTTACCTAGCAAACGTCTGTACTGTATGGGGCAGGGGCTGCTGATGTACTGTGTAGCGGGGGACGATGAAGCTTAAGACTACGCCTAACTAAGACAGTTTCTATCACATTATATGTGATAGAAAGTACACTTTCGGAAGAAATAAATTAAAATAAGAAAAAAAAAAATAACTAAGAATAATTCATTTGCAGAGGTACCTTATTTAAGTATTATACAATGCTAACAATGCGGCTCTTGTAGCCCTGGCTTGGGCATGGCATCAATGTGCAAAGCAGTGGTGTTTATTTATCCATGAAAAAAAGCACGCCGGGAAAGTTGGTGACGTATCTAGCTTATGACGTATTCATGCTAACTAAGGTGAGTGTGACGTTACCAAAAAATTAATATTTTCTATTATATCCAAAATATTAATAACTACAAAGTTTGTGGGCGTAAATTCCCTTAATATGAATGAAGGGTTGCTCAATCTCCTTCTTGCCATACAAATTACAGCTCTAATTGACATCTCAGTCGAGAAATACGGGTAGCTGAATTTTTTCTCGCAAATCTGAATACAAAACCATATCCAAATTTCACGTTCCACTTTTGACCCTGAGTTGTGCTTCGCACTCGCCGCTGAGGGCGGCGTTCCGGGAACCCTGCGTCCAGAGGGCGATTTTTTTTTTCCGTAAGAAACATTTACATGAAACTCCACTCGGGCCGTCTCGGCTGAATCGACCCGAAAATCTCATTGCAGAATTCAGGAGGTCAAAAGGTCAACAGATAAACGTCTACAGAACAACTTCTGAGAGAAGGTCGCTGTCTAATTTTTAAAAATACATCGATGTTACCATGTTAATACCAATGGGTCGTGTAAAATGACATATAATATTTGATTAAGCTGCACGAGTAATGAAAAGTGTTATTTTAACTAGAGTTACATACTATGACAATTTTAATTTTTTTAGTTAGGCCTGGGTTTTGCATAATTACCTAGGCCTACAAGTAGGCCTACTAAAAACGCTTTCTGGGAAAAGCACAAAGAGTAAGGAAAAGCGCGTTTTTCTTCATCACTGATCAAATGAAACAGAATGACAGTTATTTTCAAATTAAGAGAAGAGCTGAGAATAGGCTCTAAAATACTGGATGCCATAAGACCTGCCAAAATGGCAGAGCACCAAATGAATGTAAAAATGGGCTAGTTATTAATATTAGGCATAGTAATCGGCAGGTTCTTGATTACAAGGCTAGACCAAGTTAATTACATGTAATGCCCAATAATAATAATAATAATAATTATTATTATTATTATTACCTGTACGTTAAGGGGAACTTAGACAAAGGGGAAATAACACAAAAGATATTCCCCTTGGGCTAGTTATTATAGGCCTAGTAAATAGTATCTGTAGGTTCTTCATTACACAAGCCTTAGGCCAAGGTAATTAATGCTGAAATTATTATTATTATTAATTATTATTATTACCTGTACCTTAAGGGGAACTTAGACAATGGAGGAATTAGAGAACA